GCCTTGGAGTGCCCCCTCCCCCCTAAAATCCCCCTCTCCCGCACGGTACCCATGCTCACCGGGCCACAGAGCCCACGGGCCCCGTCAACTTGGCACATGAGCAGCCCCCAGACCGAAAATAACGCCCGCCTTGCCGTCCCCGCTGTGCGTCTCTAGCGGCCCTAGGCGGCCCTGCCCTAGGGTCCTGCTCGCGCGGCGCGCACCGGGGCGCCCCGCGACGCGTTGCCAGCTTACGGGAGAATGTTATCTCTCCCCCTTTATCTTCCTGGAGCGTCGGGACGTGGTCGGGACACGACTCCTTCCCTCTGCGCCGTGAGTGCCACGGTCTGGCTCAGGCTGCTTGCTCAGGCGCCGCCGCGCACAGCAGCAGCGTGTCCTTCCCCCTCCCTGCTGGGGCGTATCATCAGCTGACCGGCTCGTCCGCCCGAGGCACTCGGCCATGAGGCTGCTGGACTGATCTAGCCTGACAGCCCCCCCTCTCCTTCCTCTTCTCTCCCCGCTGCGGTTGGGAACGCTACGATCCTTGGCAGCTTATCTGCCAAAGTGGGCGTGGTGTAGTACTAGAGGTGCGAGTAGACCGGCGACGCTTGGCGCGCTTCTTTGTGCCGGGCCGGTGTAGTACTCGCCGAGCAGTACAGTACCTGCCCCGCATCGCGGGGCTCTGGTGCTCCAGGCGCTAACTATCTCAATTAGTTCCCCCACCCCACCCCCGTCCCCGTCCCGTCCCTTCGCGGCCTGTCGGGCTGCAGTACTGTATACACAGTTCGTCCGCCCTGCCTTGTCTGAGGGCGTGCGCGCTGTGCACTGCACTGCAGTCGGGCGCCGCCGGCCGGGCCTGAGCGCGCGTAACCAGAGTCCCTGCTGTTCGTTATCAGATGGAGAATGCTCTGCATGCGGAGCGCTATCTTCTGCGGCCGATGACCCTTTCTCTGCTTGACCTCCGCCCCCTTTCCTCCCCTCGCCCCGCCCCCTTCCTGTGGCAAAGGAGTAACGTTTCTGAAAGGGAAGTCCGACTGAGAACCTGTCACTGGCTTCTTCTCGGGGTGGAAAGGGGAGCGGTAGTGTGGACTTCGATCACTTCGAGTCGCTTGACTGTCTAAAGTGACCCCGGACTCTATCTGAGAAAAAGCATTGAATCATTCGTCTTAGAGGTTGCCCTGTTCTGTTGCAGTAAGCGGGTCAGGAACCACAGCTGCTGAAGTACTCAAGAAGGGACTCAAGATGAAGGTAGAGCATTTAAGCAATGGCCACTCTGATGCCACTGTGAACGGATCGTCATCTCCAACTGAAGAGAACAATAATGCCAATGAAAAGAAGGGCAAAGAGTTGGCAACAAATGGGGTGCATAAAGGAAAGAAGGGCAAGAAATCTGGTGAGGAAGAAGGTGAAGGGGAGGAAGAGAGTACTAAGAAGGATGAGCAGGAAGTTGTGTTCATTCAGGATATGGGATTCACAGTGAAGATTGTCAGTCCTGGCATTGAACCCTTTGACATCCAGGTACGCTTTTATTAAATTACTTGGGTATATCCATATCCATTAGAATACTGGAAATTTGCATTTCGGGATGTTGCCTTTGTTTCAGGTATCCAGCATGGAGCTTGTCCAAGAAATTCATCAATTGTTGATGGATCGTGAAGATACCTGCCACCGAACATGTTTCAGCCTCCAGCTCGATGGCAATACACTTGATAATTTTGCAGAGCTAAAAAATATTGAGGGACTTTCGGAGGGTTCCGTCATTAAAGTAAGAATGGAGATTTTAATGTATTGTACTGATCAATACTTTTTGATGTAACAGTATTATTTCACCATTGTATTTTTCTTTTAGGTTGTTGAGGAACCCTACACTATGAGGGAGGCCAGAATTCATGTACGCCATGTGAGAGATCTTTTGAAGTCTCTTGACCCTGCAGATGCGTACAATGGAGTAGATTGCAGTTCCCTTGCATTTCTGAATGTGGTAACTCAGGGTGATATCACAGAAAAAAAAAAGAGCCGTCCAGAAAGTGTCGACTGTACTCCTCCAGACTATATTATGCCCAGTAGTCGGGAGCGGCCCTTGTTGCCTATTCAGCCCCAACATAAGGAACAGAAGGGCCCCCAGTGTGTTAAAGTTCTAACCACTTCAGGGTGGAATCCTCCTCCAGGCTACAGGAAAATGCATGGTGATCTCATGTACTTGTATGTCGTTACTCTAGAGGAGAAGCACTTCCACATTACAGCTTGCTCAAGAGGATTCTTTGTAAACCAGTCATCTGAAGAGGATTTCAACCCAAAGCCAGCATCACCAAGCCACCTTTGTCACTCATTGATTGAACTTTTAAGTCAAATCAGCCCTGCATTCAAACGTAATTTCTCTACTCTTCAGAAGAAACGAACTCAAAGACACATTTTTGAGAGAGTTGCCACACCTTATCAATTATATGCTTGGTGTGCTCCACAAATGGAACACACGGTTGATGCCATTCGAGCAGAGGACACATTCTCATCCAAACTGGGATATGAGGAGCATATACCTGGTCAAACAAGAGATTGGAATGAAGAATTGCAGACAACTCGCGAGTTGCCTCGCAAGAACCTTCCAGAAAGACTGTTGAGAGAACGAGCCATCTTCAAAGTTCACAGTGACTTTGTCGCTGCTGCTACTCGTGGAGCAATGGCAGTAATTGATGGCAATGTTATGGCAATCAACCCAGGAGATGAATCCAAAATGCAAATGTTTATTTGGAATAATATATTCTTCTCACTTGGCTTTGATGTGAAAGATCATTACAAAGAACTAGGAGGAGATGCTGCAGCATTTGTTGCCCCAAGGAATGATCTTCAGGGTGTTCGCGTGTACAGCGCTGTTGATTTGCCAGGCCTGTACACGCTGGGAACAGTTGTTATTGATTATAGAGGGTACCGTGTAACTGCTCAGTCCATCATCCCTGGAATTCTTGAGAGAGAGCAGGAGCAGTCTGTTGTCTATGGCTCTATTGACTTTGGCAAAACAGTTCTTTCACATCCCAAGTATATGGAACTGCTTGCTAAAGCAGGTCAGCAGTTGAAGATACAGCCACACAAAGTTCTGAATGATAAGGGTGAAGTAGTTGAGCTTTGCTCCTCAGTAGAGTGCAAAGGCATCATAGGAAATGATGGACGTCACTACATTTTGGATCTTTTACGAACCTTCCCTCCAGATGTGAATTTCTTAAAATTAGACGATGAAGAGCCACTCAGTGAAGAAGTTCGGGCTATGGGCTTTCCTATCGAACACAAGCACAAACTGTGCTGTCTACGTCAGGAGCTTATTGATGCCTATGTTGAGTCATGTTACCTGAGATTTATCAAATATGCTGCAGTTCACTTGCAGCAGTTGGGAAGGAAACAGCAAGAGCGGAAGCAAATTGAATCTGCTAAAGAAAAAGCAATCAATGAGCAAAACCAGAAAGAATCTGATGCTGCAGACAAGAAAGATGCTGAAAAGAAAGAATCTAAGAAAGACTCCAAGGATGAGAAAGAAAAAGATGGTGAAATGGAAGCAGATGAAGCAAAGAAATTAGTTGAGAGCATTACAGATTCCTTGACCAATGGTGATAAGAAGGATTTGGAAGAAAGTACAAGGTCAATTGTACGCCAGGCAGCAGAGCATGTTGGGTCTCTGAAAGAGGCTGAGTTTGACATAAGCTTCAACCCTGATGTGCACTCTCCTGGTGTACAGCATGTTAGTCCTGATGGACCACAACTCAAGAAGGAGCGAAATCTTGTTAGAGATGCTGCTCGGTTCTTGGTCAGCACCCAAATCCCTGGCTTTGTAAGTATTAATTGAAGTTATTTGAAACTATAAATAAATAATTGCGTTGTGTTTGTGCTTGGATAACCATCTCATGTGTCATATTTTTTTGCGTTCAGATCCGTGACTGTTTAGATCATTCAATGCCTATGATGGATGGTCCCACTCTCGCTGAATCTTTACACACTCGTGGTATCAACATTCGGTACCTCGGTAAGGTAGCTGAGCAACTAGCTGGTGTTCAGCAGCTTGAGTACCTGTATCACATTGCTGTCAGTGAATTAGTAACCCGATCCGCCAAGCATTTGCTGACAACATACATGCAATCTGTTGAGCTAATGAGCCTCTCAGCAGCTGTCAGCCACTTCCTTAACTGCTTTCTCTCGTCATGTGCTGTGCCTCATCCCCAACAGGTTCCTGATGAGGTATGTTAAAGACAAGGACTGCAGTAAAGACCTGATTCAGTCTCTCTAATTAATCTGGTATTTTACAGCTGCAAAGTCGTACGAAACGGCGCAATAAAAGGAAGGGACGAGGCACCAACTCCCTCATTGCTGCAGACAGTCTTGAGTGGGCTTCACTTACACCTCGCTCACTGTGGTCTCAGCTTCGTGCAGACCTCAAATCATATTATGGATGGGCTCTTCCTGTTGATAACATTGATGCTTTAGTAGAGACATTCAGTCTCCAAAAGATTTCGTTGCTGAGGTAAGTCCGCTTCAAATTAAATGAAAATTGTGTGCGTACCAACCTCTCAACAGAATAGTAACATTTTTATTTTGTGTTTTAGGTCGTTTTGCATTAAAACAGGTATCCAAATTTTGCTTCGAGAGTATACTTTTGACTCTAAGAACAGGCTGACATTCTTTGAAGAAGATATCCTAAATATCTTCCCAGTTGTAAAGCACATTAATCCTCGAGTAAGTCTAAAAACTTTACAATATATTTATGTATGTCTCTTTATATTGGTTCCTGATATTTGTCAAACAATTACTTAACCTGAGATTTTCCACAGGCAAGTGATGCTTACAACTTCTATACTACTGGACAAAACAAAATTTCACAAGGATTTATGAAAGATGGATATGAGCTGATTTCAGAAGCTTTGAACCTTTTGAATAATGTTTATGGAGCTATGCATCCTGAAATTGCTCAGTGTTTGCGTATGCTAGCCCGCTTAAGTTATTTGATGGGTGAGCATGTTGATGCCTTGTCATATCAGCAAAAGGCAGTCCTCATGTCTGAAAGGGTTAATGGCATTGATCATCCCAACACCATCACTGAATATGTAAGTGACTGTTAACTCTTTAAATTACAATTACAAATCTAAAGTTTTGTCTAATTGGATTTGTGTCTCTAGACTCATCTGGCCTTATACTGCTTCGCCAATAGCCAAGTTAGCACTGCTCTAAAACTTCTGTATAGAGCTCGCTATCTTGCTCTCCTTGTTTGTGGGGAGAACCATCCTGAAATTGCCTTGCTTGATGTGAGTTTAAATATTTTCCTAGGTCAGCTTACTCTATTAATTGAAAATCTTCCAACTAAATTACTAATTTGTCTTAATTTTCCTTAGAGCAATATTAGTTTGATTCTTCATGCAGTTGGAGAGTTTGAATTATCATTGCGATTCCTAGAAAAAGCTCTGGCGCTCAATATCAGATATTATGGATCAAATTCTATCAAAGTTGCAGTTAGCTACCATCTGGTAGCCCGAACCCAAAGTTGTATGGGTGATTTCAGAGCTGCTTTGAACAGTGAGAAGGAAACTTATTCCATTTACAAACGACAGGTATTTTTTATTTCTTTGCTGACGCCATTTTGTTCAATGTTTCCTTGACTAAAATTTTAATTATCTTATCATTTTTAATATCTCCCATTTACTCAGCTTGGTGAGGATCATGAGAAGACTCGGGAGTCATCAGACTGTTTACGCCATTTAACTCAACAAGCAGTTGTACTCCAGAAAAAGATGAATGAAATTTACACAGGAAAGCCGGGTGCCAGCTTGCCTCCAATTCAGATCCAACCTCCCTCTATGGGTTCAGTTTTAGATATGCTCAATGTTATCAATGGCATTCTCTTTTTACACATTAGGTAAGTTTGGGGCCCTTCAACCAACATTTGCTTTCTTTTTATTGGGAACACATGAACTAATCCCACTCTTCAATTTTAGCCCTCATGACATTGAGATTTTGAAGGCAGAAATGGAGAAGAGGCAGCCTTCAGGTGCTTCAAATTCAGAGGAAAAGGCTGCAATTGAAGGAAAAGGAGAGGATGAAAAAACAGCTGTACCAACAACTGACAAGACTGATAGTGATACCGCTGTGGCTGCATCAAGTTGAGAGAGACTTGATGGCCATTGGACTAGCGACCTGAACAATTTTTATGACTGCAATATTTGTGGCCTTGTGCTGCCTTGTAAGGGAGCCTCACCTCTTCTGGGGTGCAAATGGAGGCCATGTGACCAGCAATTGGAACAAACATAGGAATGAAAATGCAATGCCCATCTTAGTGCTCGTGTGCTATTGCAGGAAAGTGTTGTTTTGTCCTCCACATGATATTTCATTACTGTAGTTGTGAGCTACAACAGTGCAGGATGATGGTTCTCTAAGTTGCCAGTGCATGTGAGCATCCAATATAATTGGTCTACTGGTCTGGATGCTGCTGTGAAACTGGTGCATGTACTACCACTCTAGCTAGAGTTCAATTATTTGATCTTTATCACTTTATGTTTTACTGAGTCTTTGTTATACACCAAATGTTTTAGTTTGTTTTGAGCTGTTATATTCTTGAGCCTAGTGTTCTTGACTCAAGATTGTTGTCGTTGAGGTGCTAAGACAAATAATTGTTCAGTTACGTATTGTTATCGTAGGCTGATAGAATTTTATAACGTGTGCACATGATCAGTTAAAATGTGCAGGTGGCCTTATTGTTTGTTTGTAATGTGATATGTGTGCACATGAGTGCCAGCCTGTAGTTTAAGTCATACCCTGTTCCCTAGGTAATAGAATTGAACAAAATAGTTTTTATAAAGTTGCCTTTTTTATAGTTTTAGAATAATGTGCATTGGTATTCAAGGCATGATGAGCACTAAAGCAATAATGTGATTCTGTGGCCTTTATTGTCATTGCCTATGTCATCCCATCATTAACATCTGCCATTCTCATTGTTTTCTCCCCTCATTTCTAGTTAGAGCCATTAACTCCAATAGATTTGCCAAAGGTTTTTTTTTCCATCCTGCCCTATTTTAAATCTTTATTCTTCCTTGTCATTGTGCTCTATCAATCGATGGGTGTCATGTGCAGTGGGACAAGTCAAGAACAAAATATTTTCATTGCATTGAGGTTTGAAGTATGTGATGCTCTCGTGCTGAGAGTAATCATTCTACTCCTTTGCCCGGCTTCATAGCTGGACAGTAGTCATGAAGAGTAGGTTGTGGTAGCTATTTAGTGTAGTCCCTGTGTTGTAGTGATTGTATTGTTATTGAATCGGTTAACATTCCATCTTGGCTGGTGTGGAGCTACTGTGCTGTACAGTGCCCCACTCCACCAATCGAGACTGTTGACCTCATGACTTGACACCAAATGATGCATCAAACAGTTTGAGCATTTGAGCCCTAGATTTCTATAAATTTGTATTTTCTTTTTTTGCTATGAAATTTTGTGGAAGAACCCAGACCTATTTTCAGAATTATGGCAAATGTTTTACATAAGAAAATGATATATTTCAATATGTATTGTGATAATGTTTTTAAATGTGAAATGATGTTGCTGATCCTGACTGTTGAGTGAGTGCTTTATATTTTTCATAAGTGTATGGGTAATTGCTCAAACAAGTCCAAGGATAGTGGTTTTTATCATTCTGATTTTGAAGTAAGGTATGAGAAGTATGCATCTCTATTTGCATTAATTGTGGTACATGACTGTATTGTAAGGTGGCTTCAGGTAATGAAGTTTATTTAGTGCCAATGGATTTGTCCTGAGCATGAACCATACAATTTACAGAATTCTGGTCAAATTCCTTCAAGACTTCTTTACTTTTGGCTTGTGATCTGTTAAGGGTATGGCTTTTTAGTACACTATTTTGGCTGCAGTTTAACGGGTGTTTACACTACCCTCCATTGGTGATGGTCATGTTAGCAATAATAGTGATACATGTAATTTTGCTTTCAGTAACAGGGCCATTAAAATGTAATGATGTAGCTTGCTTTAGAATGTGTATTAAATTGTGTCAGGTTTCTGAATTTGCCTCTGCTCCAATTTAGTGCTGTCCACTGACTTTACTTTATAGTGCCATACTTTGAGCAGTCATAATTAAAATAAGTCAAATAATTCAAAATTTGGTAAGTTGGCAATAATGCATTAATGATCTGTGTATACTTGGTAAAAATTTTAAGAAGACTTATTGGCGGAGAAAAGCCTGTAATCATTGTGTAAAAGTGATGTTTCCAATTGTTTACTAAACATTGCAAAGTTTATTACAAACGTTTTTCTTTTTATTTTGTTGAATCTTCATATATTTTGCTAGTCATCAGATAATACCTGTTAAATTTGTTAATGTGTTATTAAGGGTGTGTTGCATCGTTACATATTCTTGCTCAAGTCATCATTGATCCATAACACTACAATTTGATAGGGTTTGAATGTATTTTCCTTCATTAGTTTCAAAACATGTCATTGAAACTAGCCTGTATGTGAGAACTGTTGTTCTGATGGTTCCAGGTCATGTAACTAATAAAATTGAAATGTTTGTTGGGTAACCAATGAAATAGGAGTGTTTATTTTTCACTTTTCTCTTGAGTGCTCACCTTACTTTAGATTATTTTTCACATATTGCATGACTTGATGGATAAGATCTTTACCGCCACTTCCATGTAGCCAGCTCATTTCGAAGACGTAAGAATTGCTATCTCCCTCTGTTTCTTCTTCACGAATTATAAAACCAAATACTAACAATGGGACAGACTCTGTTAGTTTGGCTTTCTTCAATGGTGGCTCATCAGTTAGATCAGTGCTGCTGTTGGTCCCATGGCTAGTCGGAACTTCAGTAATCTGTTCAGTCTGTGAGTTTGTACACTTGGTGGACGATGAGTCTTCAGAAGGTTGACCTACTTTTTTGATCATACGTTGCTCGTCCCTTCGTTTCCTTCTCTGGTTTGACCATGTATTGTTAAGAGCTGTAACTTGATATCCAATGGATTTGACATCCTTTATTACACACCTGAATTGCAGCTAGGATAAAAGAAAAAATTATTCCTGTCGCAATGGCATTTAAACTGTTAATAATTTTTGAACACTTGACTTACATCTAAATTTTTTAGCAGGATCTTAACTTTTTCCATCAAAGAATCAAATGTTTTAAAGGCACAATTTGATGTTGGCAAAACATGGCGTACTGGAGGTTTTGATTTTTGTTTCTTCTGGTCAACAAAGTTGTCAGCAGAGAGTGATTCGCACGTAAGCTTTTCTACGTGACTCCATGCAATACCCCATCTTGTGGTGTGCCCCTGACAAAATTCTGTTGAAGCTATTTCAGATATATTTTTTTCCTTCAAATACTTCAAAACTTTGGAGACACTGGACTTGTGTCCTAACATCGTAGTAAAAATCCTACATACAAAAAGATAGTGTATCCATGAAAACTAATTTTAATTGTTGGCTACACCATGGTAGTTGAAAAGCTTACCTTATCTTGTCTTTAGCTTGCTGGGAATCATCTATCATCTTATGAACAAATGCAACTTCTCCACCTTCAACAACAACTTCATTTGCAGACCCAGTTCGTGCATTATTAGGTGGTGGTCTAGGAGAATTAGCAGACCGGCTTTTGTGAGTCTTTTCAAGCTCTTCTTCAGATGAAAAGAATGGAGGATTGCACATGGTAAAATGGAAGTAGGTTGGCATGGGCTCAAATGCACCATCCATGACACTGGTGTCAATTATCATCTCACCATCATTTTTACATACTGAAAAAAATAAATTAACATTTAAAAAAAAGTTAAATTTAAGCATTTACTTTTCCCATGATGGAATTTGCTGTTTTATAATTCTACCTTTTACAAGTGATTCTAGTTTATTGTGAAGCACATTTTGTTGAGCATGATTTAAGCATGTATTATCCTTTTCAACTCCAATCATATTCCATCCATTTTTTCGAGAAGCTAACAAAGGATAGATACACGAAGCTCCAGTACCTGGAAATAAAATGCATACAGTAACATACAGGTCATAGAACAATTTAGAAATTTACACAACAAGCTAGCAATGTAACAAGTCTAAACTTAAACCCAACCATTATTATTGCATCTATTATTTTTTTTGAGGGGGGGGAGGGGGCTGCTACAGACTTTCAAGTTCCCAGTTCACCACTACATTGTACGAAAATGAGCTGCCAGGTTTTAAGAGTGTAAAATAAACAATACACACCTATGTCGATGCCATAAACTGGGCTCCCAGTATCTTCTAATTTAAGGGCAGCAACTAAATCCTCAATCCACAGAATGTAATTGAGGCGTAATGGCACGGTTGGTACAAGATACTCTTTAGGCAAAGTTACATCCAAATTCCAATCTTCTTTCAGGAGAGCCCTTGTAAGTGCCCGTATAGTTTCTGCTTTCTTAAAGTCAATTGATACTTTCCCACTTATATCAATGGTGGCATGCAGTCTAAACTCCTCATTTTTAACAGCCAAATCTTTGAAGCTTGGTTGAGTTTTGTAAGGGTTTCTTGGATGCATTTTCTTATTCAACGCCATATCTCAAAATTAACAAAGTCCGACCTGCAAAACATTTGTAAAGAAGCTTTTCATTATGGCTACAAGGTTAGGAACTTGTATGTATATACAACGAAACATCCCTAGAGACCAGTGTCATCAAACAGAAATCTAAGAAAAACCTTGTGCCAGTGTAAAATAAAACCACATAGAAGTTAAAACCAGAAGTACGCGTACCTTTCTGAATTAACAAAAATACGCAATGTTCACGTTTACGTCTTTTTCAAAACAAAAACAGTGAACTTAATTTCTCATCTATCATCGATCATTTTGATTTTCATTTGTTTTGTTGGTGTCCCCCCTCCCCCCTCCCTCTCCCTGCACCAACGAAACTCACGTTGCAATGTTTTGATCGTGTCAGACATTTTCTTTCAATCAATTATGGCGCAAGGTAAATCTAAAACCAAGGCGCAGTTACCTGCAAATGTAAAGGCAAAGAAGAAGTTCTCTACGAAGAGCAAAGTCATTTCTAGAGCGCGCTCAAGTAAGTTATTTGATACCTAACCTCATCTCCAGATATATTTTCACACATTTGTTTTAGCTGCTTTCACATTTTTGTCATATCAGGATTTTATCAGTTGTTACTTTTGTATTTCTAGATGCTCCCGTTGCTCCAAAACTTACCGGCAAGGCTGTTGATGCAATGAAGATGAAGAAAGCTATTTCAAAAGGTGTGAGTGAAGCAATGGAGAACGAATTAAGAGCGAAGGCTTTTGATGGTAAAAAGTCACTCCTTTCCAAAAAGGAGATGGCTGACAAAGCAGAAGCCAGTAAATAGTTGTTTCTTTCAATTTATTACCTTGTAAATATAAATTTCTATTAAAACCATGATGATATTTCTCATTACAAACATTTTCTGATTTCTACATCACCCCACTTCAGTCCCTGAGTGACCCTTACTATTGGGGGACCTTTCCACCAGACAACTTGTTCTAGATTGATATGCTGGAACGGGCTTTAGATTGCAAGCGCTGCATAATTGGGAACCAACATGTTAATGATTTGGTTGGTGTGTAAGTGTTTCATGAAATAAGATTGGGAGGTATGAAATGCTTGTACAGTCTTTGACTAGAATGTTATTTATTTTTATTCTTTGGTACAAGTGAGTTTCTGTATAAATTGGTTAAAGTTTTTCTTAAATTTACTTAAATACATGCACTTCTAATCTCATTGTTATCGTCAATGAGAAGAGAAAAATACAATATTTTTGCAAAGAATGCTAATTCTTAAATTATAATCATAATCGAAGAGGCAAAGCCATAGATCACAGGGTCCTTATCACATCTCTTATTTCGTTTACACACTAGCATTCACTTGATGTTCCAGGCTGTGACATGTGAACTGCAGGTGGATCAGATGTTGGATCGGGACACATGTCGTCCAGAATTGTTATCCTGGTGGAGTTTACAGATGATCCTCGACTTGTCTCTGGCTTGAGTTTCCTTCAAGAAAATATTGAAAGCATTGTCATCATGATGTCATTTTCATCCCAAGTTGACCAACGGAAGGAAAGGAGTTCGTCGACTTTACCTGCTTCTCCGGTCCATGAAGACGGCCATAGTGAACAGGAGCGCGATTCCGCACAGCACCCCGATGATGACAACTGCCAGAACGGTAGGATCGACGCCTTGGGCGGCCGCATTTTCTTCTAAAAGGACGAGATAAAGAAAAGCTTGTTAATAATCTGTTCTGGATTTGATTCACATTACTGCATTTGAAACATGCTAGTCCTGGGGAATTCCTCCCCCCCTTTCCCCCCATCTCTCTCTCTCTCTCTCTCTCTCTCTCTCTTGCGGCACGGTCCGCGCCTGCGCGAGCCGCCCACTGGCTGACTGCTACTACTGCTACCCGGTACCAGCCTGGTACCAGCCGCCGAGGTGTGGCGCTGCTGGTCTGTGCTCCACCGTGCGAGGGGTAAGTAACAAGGCCAAAAAGTGTACACAGCATTTCCATTCTACCCATTTCCCCCATTTTCATCCATTTCCGTCCATTCCTACCCATTTCCAGTCCATTTCCAATCCATTTCTGCCCATTTCCGTCCATTTCCTCCATTTCCATCCATTTCCTCCATTTTCATCCATTTTATCCATTTTCGTCTATTTCTATCCATTTTATCCATTTCCAATCCATTTCCAATCCAATTCCGTCCATTTCCACCCATTTCCCCCATTTTCATCCATTTTCATCCATTACATCCATTTCCAATCCATTTTCGTCTATTTCCGTCCATTTCCCCCATTTCCATCCATTTCCCCCATTTCCATCCATTTCCCCCATTTTCATCCATTTCCCCCATTTTCATCCATTTTATCCATTTCCAATCTATTTCCAATCCATTTCCGTCCATTTCCACCCATTTCCCCCATTTTCATCCATTTCATCCATTTTCGTCCATTTCTACCCATTTCCAATCCATTTTCGTCCATTCCCGTCCATTTCCCCCATTTCCATCCATTTCCCCCATTTTATCCATTTTATCCATTTTCATCTATATCGATCCATTTCCAATCCATTTCCAATCCATTTCCACCCATTTCCCCCATTTTCATCCATTTTCATCCATTTTCATCCATTTTCATCCATTTTCATCCATTTCATCCATTTTCGTCCATTTCTACCCATTTCCAATCCTTTTCAATCCATTTCCGTCCATTTCCCCCATTTTCATCCATTTCCTCCATTTTCGTCCATTTTATCCATTTTCATCTATTTCTATCCATTTTCAATCCATTTCCGTCTATTTCCGTCCATTTCCGTCCATTTCCATCCATTTCCATCCATTTCCACCCATTATCACCCATTTTTATCCATTTCCAATCCATTTCCAGGGAAAGTGTACACGCATTTCCACGAGTTACTAATCCCCTCGCCACCGTGGCGTGATCTCTGCAGGTCGATTACGAGCGACTCTTTTGCCTGCCTCCCTGCCTCCCTGCCTGCCTGTCTGCCTCTCTGCCTGCCGAGGCACCTCGGCACCTCGCTAGCCGTTTTGAAGTTAGGTGGAAGGAGGTAGATACTGTCGTTCTGGACGCAAATCGGCCCGGCGCCTC